TATATAAAATTTTGAAATGACAAAAATAAAATACAATAACAAAAGTAAGACAATAATTAAGTTGATGTAACAAAATAAATAGTTGAAACTTCTAATTTCAATAAGGGAGATTGACAAACTTCTGGTCTTCTATGCTTTTGAGAAATGAGGAACTTCATGTCCACATACAATTATATTACAAGTGTTGAGAATTCAGGATCTTCTACTCCTAATTAATTGAAAATGAATTGAGGAACTTGTAACCCCCAAAACTGTAAATATGATAGTGCGCTCCACTAATAAATCATTTAAAACTTATGTTTCTTTAAATATTACATTTGCTCAATGTTAAACTCCAGGTTTAACTCATTAGGATGTGAACTTCAGGGTCACATATATTTATACAAAGATGTAGACTTTTCAACCTTATATTTCATTATACATAAATTGAGATCTTCATACCCTTTTTAGATGTATAGGAATTTAGGATCTTCAGGTCCTTTTCCTTTAATTGTGTAAAATTTAGGGTTTTCAAGCCCCTTATAATTGAGGATCAAGATCTTCCGGTCTTAATTCCTTTTTTTTTTTTCCAGCTTTGTCGTAACAAACATGGAGTGTAACGACTATCATATTTTCATATAAATGTGAACCATGAATATATAATAAATGTACATTAATTGCTTCTGGCAATCATAGTTTTATTTACTTATACATATATATATCTAGGTATATATATATATATACTATATATCATATTGTATTACCATCAACTTTCCAATATAAAATGGAGCCATGTCAAAGTGAAACTGACAAAAACCATGATTAATATATTAAAATGGTCTATTCGTGGAGGATTGACCACATGCTCCTACTTTTGCACCTGCCACACAAGAACAGGTTCCAGCACATCTATACTTGCTTTAGATGTTAGCATGAGTATCAAATTGTGTAGATATGATGGTGATAATAATAAATTGAAGAAGATAAAGTGAAAGGCAGAAGGCTTATCTCTTTGTTTCGGTGGATGTTCATATCCCACTATGAACGCCAAGAAGCTCAACACCTCAGCTGGTTTCTTTTGGTGAAGACTAGCATGGTATACTGGTCCTTGTTTTGGATTTGTGTCTCCTGGAATGATCTTCAATTTTCTTCTCTGGTTGGTTTGTTTTCTGTAAACATAGTATGCTACCAAAAGGAGTTTGTATTTACACACAGGGAAACCATGAAAACTTAATTGCCCAGAAAGCCTCAAGAAGAGGATGAGTAAAGTGGAGGCAGGGACGGACCCACAGTGGGGTTAATGGGGTCAAACGACCCTATGGACTCCATGGAAGTAAGGTAGAAGGTCCCCTTCAATGGTTGTGTGACCCCATGAATGGCTGAAGGAGAAGGCTCTGTCTGAGGAAGAAGAAGTTGCCTAGCGCTTCTGTCTTTTAAAAAAAAAAACTTGCTAGCCAAAACGGCGTCGTTTTGGCGTAGCCCCAGTGAATTTTTTTTTAAAAGACCTGGCCAAAATGACGTCATTTTGGTCCAGATCTTTAAAAAAAAAAAAGAACAAATTTCATTTAACCCTTCAAACCCAAATCCCCTCCGGACTTCAACCTTTCAGAAACCCCTATTCCTAAACCCTCAAACCTAAATCCCCAATCTCCACCCCCCCCCCCC